TAAAGGACCACTATAGTGTCAGGAAAACATACTCATTTACCTGGCACTATAGTGCCCTGAGGGTGCCCCCACCCTCAGGATCCCACTCCCATGGCGCTGAGGGGGGAGGAAGGGGTTAATCCCTTACCTTTTTTCCAGCGCTGGGCTCCCTCGGCGCTGGGACTCTCCTCCTTCTTCTTCCGTCACCGGCTGAATGCACATGCGCGGTAAGACGTATAATATAATACGTTGAAATGTGACTATCATGAATTATGTAATTATATAAAGCTTTAAGTAACACAAGAGGTAGGGGTTTGACTAAGATGCAAATCATAAACATGGATCATACACACATACAATGCCAAACAGCAGCCTTCTGCACTTCATCCCTTATCACAGAAGCTCTGGCACAATTGCACATTGTCAGAACTTTAGTGATAAGATAGCTTGAGCATAGAATCCAAGCTAATCAATGTTCCTCCAGCCAACCCCCTGGCTGGCTTCTAGAACAACGTATACACATGAAGGAACAGCAGTGCATGGTTTGGTGAGTCCAGCATAACAACTCTACCATGTCTCTTGTGAGTACAGCAGGAGCAACCTATCCAATACATCTTTATCATCAAAGTGCTGCCAATTCAGAGTTGAGCTTTAAACACTGCCTGCTCCCTGACTGCTGTGAGCAGTAGAATAGAGGCAATAAATAAAAGAGTTCCAAATTCAGACTTAGGGCTATTCAGGGGCCCACTCATGGCTCCAACAAAAGAGCACCCCTCCTAGCAATGCCTTTGACAATGAAGGTATTTTGGAGATCAGCCCTTAATGTGCAAATATGAGTCGCAGCAATTCTGTATCGTCTCTAAAATAACATTAAAATAGCTAAATTCCATTTAAAGTAGGCAACAGGATTTCAAAAAACAAGGTGCAAGAGAAGACTGAGAACGGACAACAGCTCAAATAACAAGAGAATGTTGAATTTTTATTAAATGTCTACTTGACTATTAACCCCATTCTCTCAGTCAGATGTAGGTATGAATTTTCCTTTTTATTCTCCTTTTTTCACCAGAATCCCCCAGTCTCACTCCATTAAAATTAAACCACCCTACCGACTTCCCATTATCCTAAGAATATTGAGGAAGGCCATAAAACTAATATATATCAAACAAATATACCATCAGAAGTCTCTTTCTTCTAACATTTTTTTTCTTTAGCCCCAATAAAGGCCATATTAAAATCCACAATTCCCAATGCAACTAATGAAAACAAAAATAAAAAAATAAGAATTTGCAAAAAATAAAAACAAAACTAAATATATTAATAATGCGACTCTGTGTAATAATTCACGTCAATCCGGGCTCAGCACAGACTGAGCTTGCAAAGTGGAGAAAGCCCTTATTGCATCATGTGGGAACATTTTCCATGCTATTCAATATAAGTAAGAGCGCTTTAAATGGTTGGCTAGCAAATCGAACAATTAGAGTGTTATGACAGGCAAGGGGCCCCATATTTTTTTTACAAGCCCTATCCCTATTGAAAGGAGCTTTTCTATTGACTGGGCAGCAATGGCTAGTTTCAAACATTTAGTACATAGGCCACCACCTGCCACATGGCAGATGGAGACACTGGGATGTTTAAAATCTTCCTCATAATAATATGGGGCTCTTACTGACCCCCATAGGCTTTTTTAATCTATTAAAATCTATTAGATCTTTTTTAAAAGTTTTTTTTAATGTGGCAGTTGTCTAGGAAGCCCTGGCTCACTCAGCTAAGAATTTTTATTTTTTGGGGGCCAAAGTTTCAGCCATCTAGTGACGTTCTGTCTGTCTGGAATCTAGACCAAAATCAGTCCTGTTCAGTGCCTTAATTGCAAATTCTGGCCAACTCAGACTTCAGTGAATAACCCTGGAAAGAAAGCCCTTAATGTCCTTTAAAAACAATATATAAAATGTATGGTTGCTGTTAAAGAGAAATCCATAAATTATGATTAAACAAACACATTCTAAGTTCTAAATCGCACAAATTCTAATTTGTATTTTAATTCAGAAGTTGGACGATTGTATCTGTCATAAGGGGTTAAGCACCATATCCACTACAGCTTAACATAGCTTGCTTGGTGCCAAGAACCTGTTTCACAGTCTGACAAATATAAGCATTGCATGTTGTGAGAAATGGCAGTGTTTACATTTGCCACAAAGGAAGCCTCTTTTCATCTGGATGGTCTTAGGGATATACTTGGAGAGTTTATTTATTAACTTATGATGAATTAAATAAAGGTGGTTAATTTATAGGCATCTGGTCTCTCAGTTCTCTCACCAAATGACTGCCCACCTTGATGTGAAAGATCCCTAACATATGAAATGATCCATAAATTGACATCCAACATTTGGGACATGTCCTTGTGTTTCCCTTGGAATTTAAAAAAGACTGTAAAAGGACAAAAAAAGAAAAGAAAAAAATAACTTCATTTTCAGCAGTCATCGTAGAATTTTAAAATACGGTAATACCTTTATCTTCGGTATTAAGACTAGGACGTGGGCATCATATTGTCATTTCTAATTGTGCTAAAGTCCTTGTGGATGTCTCAGCCCCATAAATATATATTGAACTCTATCTGGCAAATACTATTTACTTTATATATAATATATGTATATATTTTTTAATTTATGAATTTTGAAGACCTCTCATTTAATATTCACTTATCTGTCCAAAGCTCAATTCTCTTCTTCTCACTCCTTATGAATCCACTGGTAAATATTAGCATGAATCATTATTGGCCTGAAATGTTTTCATGGTAAGAAAATAAGCACCCAGTGTGGTCAGTATTTGAAGTAATAAAATTTTCTTTAACAAAATGCTGTCTATTATATCTGTGCTGCTTTTACCGTGGTCATTTTATATTGCACACCGAGTAAAACGTAAAAACATAAATCCGTTATGCTATATCCTATATGCATATTAGCCAATACTTAAAACAAGTAAGGGTCTACATGCAAATATACTTAGATACAAATTGAAGCAACACTTAAAGAAAATGTCTAGTGTTAGTAATACAAATATGTATTTCTCACGCTAGAGTGTTATACTACCTATTTAGATTATTGGGTTCCCCAGACGTAATAATAAAAAATAAGTTTAACTCACCTTTATTCCCCTAGCATGCCAGTCTTGCTGCCAGCTATCAATTCTCCACGGACCTAGATTATCAATACTGATGATGTTAGCCAATCCGATACTTCCCCTACATGCAGAGCATAGTACACTGAATATTGGTCCTGCAATCTTTGCAGGACCGCATCCATTAAGTCCGCCTAGTGGCTGTCCGAGTGACAGCCACTAAAGATGGCATTAGGCAGTAATATAAACACTGCATTTTCTCAGAAAAGACAGTTTTTACATTGTTGAGCCAGTAGGGACAGTCTCTTTGCACCAGAACCACTCCAATAACCTGAAGTGGTTATGGTGCCTACAGTTTCCTTTTACCTTACATGTTATAAAATGCACATAATAATGGTATTTTAAAACCCATTTTAGATTATTAAAATATATATTTAAAAAAAAATGTTTATATGCAATGGGAGTCTCCTATTATAATTACAACATTACTAATTTCAAAGCATCTACATGAGGGCATTGTTTCAAAGGCACTTGCATTCAGTGCAACAAATATATTTTTTTTGTAACTGATTCTAAAAACAACATTCCAATGATTAGGTATCTAGCAAGAACAAGCTATACTGTAGTGTTTTTTCTAGCTGAACCTAGGTAAATGTAGCACCCTCCTCCAGGCTGAGATTGGTCAGAATCACATACCACTCACACTGCAGTCAAACTAACCTGAATCAAATTTTCAAGATAGAAGTCAAGGTAAGTGTCACACTTGATATCTCCCTGAGCTATTGCATTTTATTATTTTTAAATGTATATATTTATTTTCTAAATTGTTCCGAGCAGTTTTTTTCATACATTTAAATTGCTAAATATCTACAGGATATAATAAAGACCTTATGTTTTTAATGAAGGCACTCCAATGTTTTGGCTGCAGTACATCAACTATTTTTAAACATTAACTTTAAGTATATATTTTTTTATTTAAAATGTTTATTAAGTATGTTGGGTACAAAAATAAAACAAAATACATGCAGTAAGTTTATTTTTTGTTTGTTTTTTAAAGTAATTTGGCAAATTGATATTGAGATATTTGTATAATACAGAAACGGATAATTAGCGTAAACTAAATCTTGAAATGTTGATATAATAAAATATTCTCATATTCTTCTCTAATAACATTAGCTATTGCGCCAATGTTGGAGAATATTGTTTGTTATTGAACCTGCAGATATAACATGCACATTCAATACACTAATTTTATAAGCAAAAAAATACCTGGAAAATTGAAACTAGCATACTTTAACACCGTGCTCTACATCTGTCAGCCAGGTTTTCCCTTGTTATTATAGTCGTAAAATCAACATTTTATTAACTAAATGGATTTAATATTTTAGCAAATTCCAGGACAGAGCAGTTTGTAGTTAAAAAGGCCAATTCAGGCATAGAAACCTTAAAGTGCACTTTTTATAAAGTACCTTTGAGAATTTCATATAAATGAGAGCTTTGTGCTGGGTCCATTTCCCAGAGGAATTTCATATCCTCCTGACTAAATCTGCTTCATAAAGGCTTTCTTTCAAGCCACTAATACTTACATTTTTTAGTCAGTGCTCTTTAGAACATGAATTCATAATGTATCTGGACTAAGGTATCCACAAATTGCAACTGAATAGGGCAAGTGTGCGCCATCATCAAACTACCAGTTGCTTTAGAACACCTGCGTTCTAAAGGATCACATTTCACATGCTTATTACTTATTGACAACTGCTCCCCAGAAAGTCTTATACAGTAGCAATGTTTTGAGCTATTAGTATCAATATCACGGAGGTGGTAGGAATTTCATAAAGATTCCACAACTTTATTAACAAAGTTCAACTACTGGCCACAAATATATTTTCTGCTGAGACAATTTTGTCTGTGTGTGTGTGTTTGTATGTGTGTGTTTATGCATGTGTGTATGACATATCATATGCATGTAATAGAAAATTCATAGTTGAAAAGACATACACACATGCATAAACACACACACACACACACACACACACACAAACACACGTACACACACACACAAAATTGTCTCAGCAACTGAGTATAAACAATAAACTCAAAAATATATATAAACTTGAAAATTATGGAAATAATACATGCAATATATTTAAAAAAATGTGTTTATGCATGTATGTATGACATATCATATGCATGTAATAGAAAATTTGTAGTTGAAAAGACATATCTTTAAAAGTCAAATATATATTTATACAGTCATACACACATGCATAAACACACAAACAAACACGTACACACACACACACAAAATTGTCTCAGCAATTGAGTATAAACAATAAACACAAAAATATATATAAACATGTCAATTATGGAAATAATACATGCAATATATATAAAAAAATATTATGTTGATAAACTATTGAAGCATTATGTTAAGTGGACTGTCAGTTGCTCAGTATGTGGGTATACATGAATGCTTCTTGGAACACATCCAAAACAGATGAAACCCCATACAGACTCAAGCAGAATGAAGCTACTGTATGCTCAATGCTAAATTCCAATCCTCTTAAAAAAAAAAAAAAAAAGCAAGATGTGCCAATTCTCTATTTGCATCCAAATAAGTATCTTTTATCTGAGGAGCAGGTACAAAAGGCATATTTTAATGCTCATTCTGAATGATCTTCTGTTCTGTTCATAGCTTTGAAGAATGAAGACTTTTGCAAATGTTTTTCTGGGACTTTTTATTCTTAAGGCTGTTATAGCTCCTCCACCATCAGAAACTGTAAACTATGATACAGATACATATGAGGTTGATCTCGAAGATCTGGATATCTATGACTACAATGAAAACATAAGCGTTGATCAGGGAGAGGTAAATAAAAGATTATTTTCTTTTATGTCACATGTCGGTTCTTCTGCATGTACAAAGTCAGTATAGATCTACATGTAGCAGATGAATGCCTTACGAAAGTAGCTGTTTCAACATTAAAATGTAACGTGTGATATATTTGTATGATTTAGGAATAATGTTAAAATTACAGTAGAGATAGACTAGTATCAATGGCATTTTTTTGCCAGATATCTACAATTACACAAATAAATTAAATTATAATAAATTGTGTTAATACAAGGGAGTTGTTAAATGGGTGCATTGGTATTATGGTGGTACTGCTACAATGTTACTGGTATGACTATCATCAATACTCATCATGATTTTGATAATGAATCAGACCTTTGTATAATCTATCTTTCATGTCATTGGACTACATGTAAGGTTTGATCAATTAGGGCGATGATCAGTCTGAAGGTTAGGTAAATCACCATTAATGCATTATATGTTAAAGTGAATGATAATTAAGAATAACTTCACCATAGACCTGGCCACCAAGAAACTGTACAACTTTGAAGTGATAAGCTTAGATATTTGCTTTTGGACACTAAGGTTTTTGTTTCAGTGAGACAAACCATATCAACAATATTGCTTCATTAGTACAATCAGTTTGTAAAGGTCAGCAATGTGTCATTGCAATGTGTAAAGCTCAGTTTGTTGCTATTCCAAGACCTGTGAAAATGCCAAATGGCACTCTCTACATTCTGAAAAAAATCATAACATAATCCCATTTGCTTCTAGGTTCCACATAAAATAAAATGTACTGAAGGTAGTCAAATCTTTATGTTTAAGCTCTGTTAATGGTAGAATTACATTTTGCTAAGCATGTTGGGAGATCCTGTCCTCTGATTCTGGTCAATGTTGACTGAGTATGAGTGTGTGAGCTTAGAACCTATGTCTGTAGACAAACTTAACATCCCCTCGATTTATTCCATAAACCTGTCTACCTATTCTCTCCTAAGATAACTGGTGGCTTCCTCTTATGTTCTTATACTTCACCTCCTTTAGATTGTATGCTTGGTTTGAACAGCACCCTCACTGACCTGTTGTCATGGTTTATTTTGTAATAGTTTATCTGTTATTGGCTATTTTATCTTCTTTGTAAAAATGTAATTTACTGCAGAATATGGTGGTAGTATATAAATAACAATAATTATTATAGGTATTATAGGTTAGTTTTTAATAGAAAAATAGGGCCTTTTAGGGGGCTTTAGGAGCTGAAGCCCTGTATACTTGACTCTTCAGCCATGGATCACAAGAGTTAGTGAACAAGGCATGGATCACAAGAGTTAGTGAACAAAGGATGAGAAGCCTTCAAATGAAGATTGAGCAGTTGGGAATGAATTCATGCACAGGATAGACTTGGTAAACAGTACAGTACATACTGATGGATGCTGGATTCCTACAGTGTATAGATTGTATAGATTGTATAGATTGCCAAGTTCTGGGGGAAACACAATATGATGGGTCAAAGAATTTGACAGAACACTGTCCATGCCAGTAAAATACCATCCGGTATGGCTAGAATTTTGGGCAGCAAATGGGGCAACTGCCCCCTGGTCCAGCCTGTCACTGCATGATAGCCAGCTGCTGTCAGTTCTTTATTTGAGCATGAGTCATAACAACTCAACCAAGACACAGGTCAGTTAATATAAGAATACATTTGACTTTTGCCTCCCTAGTCTAACCAAACTGTATTCAGCTTGTTTAGTTCCCAGAACACCACTCAACATTTGGTAATCATAACTTGTATATGTATATATTCAGCTTAGCATAACACATGTGCTGTAGCATCATGTGTCTGGGCAATCCTTAGTCTGGTACATAGACAATCTATTTTTTAAATGTGAATCCAGGTTCTCCAGTCTCCAGTTGGTATCCAATCTGCATTTATGAGTGAATCATATTCATGTGAATCAAAGGTCAATGTGTCTTGTCATTTCAGTAGCTTTCCGAGAATGTTTTCTCACATAACCGTTTAATTTACTTAAAGGACAAGCCTCCTCTCGTAATGCATTAAATCACTGCAAATCTGTCAGGCTTTCAAAAAGCTAGCCATAACTATGCCAAAAGAGACATTCAACCACACACATATTTTGTTTACAATTTGCAAATCGCTTAAATAAATAAATGATCTCCACTGTTTGCCAAATAAGCCAGAGAGAAACCCTCTGTGACTCTTTAACTGGTTTTAACATGGTGAAATGCCAGACTTAGCACATGGCCACGGGTAATGCAAGGATCTTTTATGCCCAGTGTGTCTAGTAGTAATATACCTGTAGCCAATCGGCCAAGACTCTGTAACTCCAAACTGATGGATAGTTGAAACACTGTGACATTTATACAGTAAACCATTAATTATGCAAAATCAACAAGAGGAAAATAGCTAATTTGTAGATTTTTTCCAATTTAGCTTTTTTCTACAAACATTTGCAATTACTTTGTCAATTCTTTACAATCGCCAGTTTAGTGAATAAACTCAATTTGACCTACACACCAAAACAGCTATAAAATATAGCTATAAAACACATGTTTAGTTAGTGATGTATTAGGCATCGAGTTGGTGTTTATTCTCTTAAACGTGATCTGTGATAAACTAACAACCACTTTGTAAACTTTAACACATAAAATGGACAAGTTGTACCATTTGCAAAGTTTTTCTAACAGTATTGAATCATTTGGAAAGGTTATTAAATCGAGGTCTAAGTCTGAAATACTTAGTCTGCCAGACAGGATTTCTGATGCTACCCATTGTTTTTAAGCAGGCTATCAGATCCTGAACAACTTAAAAAAAGACCTGCCTATGAGGGTTGGCTTGGTGCTACCCGAGCAGACAGTACAACCCCAAACTACATAATTGACCATGGATCCTAACTGACACCACATGTGAGTGGAAACTCCAAAATCTACCATCATTCAGCATAAACACAAGTGGCCTTGTGCTTTCCGATATGGTGGCTATGGTGACGCTTCCTCTCCTTTGTCAGACACAGGCTCAAAATCAGAGATTCTCTCTCAGTTCTCTGAGGCGTACCTGTTATCTGAATGCAAAATCAATGTAATGCTACAATTATAATTGACTATTTTGGGTGATTACTGTACATCTACAAAAGATTGATTGTGACACAACAATATTAGAGTCAATGGGATTCCAGACAATGTTACTCAAGGAGAACTGCCTTTTATCACTATTTAAATAGATTCTTCTGGTGTAGCAGAGAAAGAATGGCTCTTAGATAGGGCTTGTGATGGTCAAGCATAACGAGGTTGTAAATATGACAAAATTACTTTGCAGACATAACATTTTCCACGGATTGAGATATCCTATTATGCACCTTGTTTGGTGCAATGGAGCTTTGCAGCCCATTAATACTCACACAGAAGCCTAGCAAAATGTTAAAACAAGGCATCTAATATCTAAGGACCCCCCAAATCCATCAACAAAATCCCCACCACTCAAGGTAGACTCATCTTGGAGAAGAGCTGGAAGTCCAAAGCCTAAATGAAGACAACCAAGGACTGCAGAATACAGCTTTCTCTTTCTATGGATACTACTAAACAATACCTTTTCCTATAGCATGACATTTCTAAGCAGTACAGTCCATGGCTCACTGATGGATTATTGTTCCTATTATATCCTATTATACCCAATGGATGCATGTTGTAAGCCTCCATGAGTTTTTGTGCAACAGAGCAAATTAATCTTTTATACCCTGTACAGGTTTATAAACTAATTTCATTTGGGGTTAACAAGGATGTGGGACTATTTAGTTCTTCTTTATATTGCTAAAGAGTTAATATTTGTTGACACATTACTGAGTATCTGCTTCATATCACTCTCTCATATAGCATTATTAAAACAAATAAAAAAAATACATTTGGGGTTGTTCATTGGGAACGCACTAATCTTATTTTCTGTAATGTGGAGCTCAGTGTTTTACTTTTGCCGCTTCATCTCTTCCTCTCATCCTATCACACCCACCAGGCTATTCATTCCTTGGCTCTTCCTTTTCCCCTATCACTTCCACTCATGCCTCCAGACTCACCATCTCCCTTCTCTCTTCTTATCACTCCTCCCATCACTTCTTATCACTCTTCTTATCACTCCTCTCATCACTTCTTATCACTCTTCTTATCACTCCTCCCATCA